GTATGCCGTTTTCTGGATTTGACCGTACGTCAGGTTTCAGTAAGAAATCCACGCAAGTCTTTGTACATGAGGCCCCAGGCCTGGCTCCAGGGTGGGGCCCCAGTAACCCACGTCCCGGCAAAGGACACTGTGATATTTTATGTCCATATGGATCTGTTGACTCTATCTTAGTCTGGCCTGTGTTCATAATTTGAAATTAAATGCATTGATTTGAAAATAAATATAAAGTGAGTTTGAATTTAATGGTTTAAATCCGAATTAATATGCTTAGAAACTGTATTTTGTTGTATTGAAAATTCATTTTGACTACTTTCACTTTAAAGTCTCATACTGAGTTGTGTTGCAGGTCACCAGTGGTGCTGGAGACAGATGGACCAGACATTGGAGACACCACTGATGGCTGAGCGGAGCCCCCTGCAGACSCCTGGCAGGTTTTAGAGACTCTGTGAAGCTCCTCTTTCTCCAGAGCTCAGAGAAACCGAAGGACCCTGAAGAGCTGGAGCGTCTCGGTGCCTCTGAACYGGATTGTTGTGTTTAAGTTGCTAGCTGGAAGGTTGAGTACGTCTCAGAGCAGCGCTCCCAAACTCAKTTTAGTCACGGTGTGTCCTCCAGGGTGTTGTCATTTTTGTTGAACGGCTTTAAACTACTTTTAACTTAAAAGGCTCCCACCGGCTGGCTCTCACTGAATCAGTAACTTATTACACAACCGTCACAATGTATGTTTTGATTTTGTAACTGCAACTGCTTTGGGCTGATTTCTGTCTTCACTGTGCCTTCAGACTCTGCATCAGACGTGTGGACTATTTTTAGAATAACTGTTGCTGTCAGTGTTTTTATTCATGCCCAGRGTCAAGCAGCTGGAAAAGATGAGCTAAAATAAGTGTGTCTGTGTTTGGRTCACTTGAAACACTTCTCTCAGTGCAGACAAGTTATTCTCTTCTTGTTGTTGCTTTTAACTCCCATTTAAAACCAAACAAAAAGGAAAGTGTCGTGAGAGACAGTTCTCGTAATTACATCTCCCAAAACTGTTAGGATTGTAGAGTAGGACAGTGTAGGACAATGTGGAATGTTCTGTTTGAAACTGGGATTTACAGAATGTGCTTGAGTTGTTATTCTGCTGCTTTTGTTTAGAAAGAAGCTAAAAGAGATGGAGAAGGAAAACAAGAGGCATTAAGAAATGTGTMACTGCTGTTGCTGATGTTTTATATGTTCCTGTAGTGTAAGGCTGGACAACTGTAGGCTCCCAAACTGTGGCAAAGGAAACACTGAGTCTGCAGCCACTTTTATCCAAAAACTACCACTGTCTTGGAGTGTAGGAAGTGAGATGGACTCCTTTAACTGTGAGTTTCTGAAACCTGTCCACACTCAGAGGGCCGTTAGTTAGAGTACTCATGACGTCACTACATGTCAGACTTTCTGTACTGTTTTTTGTTGAAATGCCCCCCTTTTCAGCACTCAGACTGATCTGAATATAAAGATGAATCTGAATGCTGAGAAGAAAATAAATTGATTTAGCTCACAGTAGTTAGAGACTGAACAAAAAAACTATCCCTGAATGATTCTTAACTCCATGTCTTACAGTGAAAAGAGCTTCTTCTGTTGGGGGAGGGGGGGAGCACTACAAAGACTAAGTTGAAGCTGAAGTTGTTCTGCTTTTGAGTGATGAAAAACTGTTGAGGAAGTAAAAACATAATAATTGTTAAAAACAAACATGTTTTAATAAAAGTTCTGTGATTCTTCACCTGGTTGTTTGTGGAATCTGACRAACATCACATAAGCTGTTTGTAAAAAACCCAAATCCAATGAGACTTTGTGCAAAACATTGAAATAAACAGAATACGATCATTTTCAAATCCTTTTCAACCTACATTCAATAGATTACACTACAAAGACATGATATTTAATGTTCAAACTGATAAACGTTATTGTTTGTGTGCAAATATTAACTCATTTAGAATTTGATGCTGCAACATGTTATGTTTTTCACAACTTCTCAGCTTCATTAGAATTGCAGTTGCACCAAAAAGAGAAGGTTTCAGCTTTACAACAACAAATTTACATGCAAGTCAAGTTGTACAGATTATTTGTAAATTAGACAGATTTTCCTCCATTTAGCAAAGATACAGACATATTGTGAAATCTTAGGTTTTTTTTCGTTTTTTTTTTTTTTTT